ACATGTCACTCAGATTGAGTCAGGAGGAGACATCAGACAAACCCAAACTGAGAAACAGTCAACAAGAAGCTGGCACATATGAGTATACATTAAAATTTCAATGTTATAAAAGACAGAGTCTGGTGAGAAACTATTCCAGATTAAATGCCAGAGTCATGATACCTAATGCAACACACGATCCTTTACTAGATCTCTACTGGATGGTAAATCATGAGGGGCAGAGTGGAGATAACCAACAAAGCGGAATGTGACCTGTGCCAATGTTAAACCTCCTATGCTTCATAACTGTATGGTGGCTATCCTTGTCCTTATAGAAAACACACTGAAATATCTGGGAATAAGGGCCACGATATTTTCAAAATGCCTTTAAAGTTTGTTAGACTTTTACATAACGTACGTGTGTGTGTGTGTGTGTGTGTGTGTGTGTGTGTGTGTGTGTAGTTCAGAGGACAAATTATGGAGGTGGGTTCCTTCCTTCCACCACATGAATTTCAAGGATTGAACTCAGGTCTTTGTGCATGGTGGCAAATACTCTTACCTGCTGGGCTATCTTCTTGGCCCCTCCAAAGTAGGCAGTTATCCTTTTGACCGTGTGTGTGTGTGTGTGTGTGTGTGTGTATTTATGTATGTGTATATGGATATGTGTTTATATGTATACCAATATAGATAGATAGGGAAAACAAATATAGAAAAGTACTATAAATGGTGACTACAGGTCTCATAGAGAAGAGGCGTCACCTAATTCATTTCCCACTCATGCAGTGCCAAGGTCTCTTGAGAGTGAAAACCTCTGACTTCTGGAACATCACATTCATCTGTGATTCCCTTTTCTGGTTCATACTTTCAGACATACATTTCTGTAAGCCAATGGTTCCTATACTGTGGCCTGCCTAACTCTACTGTCTCACAGACTACTGGGTTCCCTTCTCAAGTAAAAAATCCACACTGGCACGTCTACCACACTGTGAAACAATGTAACCAGCTGTTCAGCTCTAACTAACATGTCCCGATTTTATTTAAGCACACATGCCTTTTCTAGGAAGACCCAGGGACTCTTGGTGGTGCTTCTCTAAACTGAACTCAAACCTTTGCACACACTGGCAATACTGGGTCTTGGAGAAGCCACTTTCATCCCAGTGGGTTTTGCTATAAGTTGTGGCCCTTGCTGGATTAATCTGAACATGGTTTCATGTGATAGATTTCTTTGAGTTTTAGAAACTGGTAAACAAAAGGAAAAACAAAGCTTTGCAGATAGATACAGTCATGAAAGGCAACTTATATACTCTATAATAACGTGAATATAACAAAAGAAATAAATCTCACGATCATATCAGTACATGTGAAAATGCAGACAACAAAATCCACTGCCCATTCATGACTAAAAAGACAACAAACGCTCAGTGAGCTGTGAAAGGAGGAAACTTTGTAACATCAGCAGCTCTCCTCCTGAGGTCAGAAACAAGAACAGGATGTCCCATATCACTGCTTCGCTAACCATGAGTTCTGAACAGTGCAATAGTACAAGAAAATGAAATAAAATGAATACAGATTGGGAATGAAGAAATAAACTGTCTATACTTGCAGATGAGATAAACTGAAATTCTGAAAGCTTTTTTTTTTTTTAAATACTGGATCTGAGAAGCACTTATAGCAAGGTAAAAGCTCATTGTTTCCACATATCCACCAACAGACGAGAAGGAATTTAAAATTAAAAACACAAAATCATTTTCATTACCATCAGCGCAAATTGAAATATTTAATACAACTTCATTCAAAATTTGATTCCGAAATGAAATCTAACAAAACAAGTGGAATATCCATGTGACAAACTATAAAACTACAACTGTGATGAAAGGAAGTTTTTGAAAGACACCCAGAGAGACATTTTGTGTTCACACAGCAGGAAAGGTGTTTTCTCTCTGGTTTTCTTTTTGAGACAGGGTTTCTCTGTGTAACCCTGGCTATCCTGGAACTCTCTCTGTAGACCAGGCAGGCCTCGAACTCACAGAGATCTGCCTGTTTCTGCCTCCTGAGTGCTGGGATTAAAGGTGTTCGCCACCACCGCCTGGCAAGAAAGGTGTTCTTAAGCCATAAACACACATACAGGAAACATAAGTGTGTTGCAAAATGAAAGAAGCCAGTCTGGACCCATCCTATAAGATTCCAGCTGCATTGCATTCTGGAAGAGGCAAACTAGAGCGAAGGGTGGTTGCCAGGGGTTCAGGCAGGGAAGGAGGAATGAGAATGGCAGGGGGGATTGTTAGGGCAGCTAAGCTATTCTGTATGCGTCTACACTGGTGGATACACATCTTTACATATCTGCCAGACCCACAGGACGAGAAGCAGCAAGAGTGAACCAAGTGTGAGTTGAAAGGCTGGGTTCTAAACAGAGGCATCGGTGGTACTAAAATGCCACGCTAATGATTAAAAACAAATCGAAACAACTCTTTGGCAGGATGCCAGTATGAATCAAGAATTATAAAATATTCATATCCTTCCTCTCAGCAGTTCCACTTCTGGAAGCTGACTGAAGCAAATTATTTTTACATAAGAATGTCCAGAATTATCGATACTAACACACAAAAATATCACATGCCTGCCAGAGTTCCTACAGCCAATAAATCATGCCGCACACCTCGTGGTGAACGGAGCCAGACACCTGGTAAAACTCAGCTCTGACTCTGTTGCTCACCCGCATCTGTACTTGCCACTCATTCCAAGTGCTCACACCGCTCAAGCCTGTCCACACCTGTGCCTTTTCACTGGCCTCTGGAATCCGGGCTATCTTCACTCCATACCCAGACTGCTGTGGTCCCCTTTAAACTATCCCTCTGATTATATCCATCATCTATCTAATTCATCTCCATCCCACAGAGCCATCCTTTCAGACTGATGATCTGCTGTCACTGCCCTGCTTGTAAACCTCCGACTGCTGCCAGGACTCCTCACTGGGGCTTCTAATGTCTTGTCAGAATGATGCCCGTCTACTGTTCTTATCATTCCTATGGCCTGGGGCATGACATTATAACTTGAGTGGCCAATCTCTGTCTCCCCTTTTATGAAGGCTTTTTTTTTTTTTTTTGGAGGGGTGGCAGTCGGCCTCACCAGTCAGTACTTTAGAAACTGGTACTAAGGTAAGCTAGCCATCCTCTCCTGAGACAATCACATGTCCAGGTGGGCGTGTCCCTTAGTTTCCGCTCCCTCTATCGCTGTCACTTGCGTCTATCTGCCGCACAGGCATCACAGATTCATCATCCAACTGAGTCTACCTCCCTCTAACACCTGCTCGCCCTGCCTCTCCTGAAAATAGTACCAGCATGCCCTGGGCGGCCTGTACCCCTGGAGATCTGAGAATCTGCTTTGGTTCTCCTCCTGCTCTGCTATACCTCATTTCTATGTCCTAGCTGCACTGCCTCCTAAACCTGTCTCAAATTATCTCCATTGCTTTGTCTCCAGTACCTTTTGCAAAACCACCTCAAGTTTTGCTTTTGCTATTTCAGTAGCCTCCTAAGTGATTTCTTTTCTCCCATGCTTGGCACAGCCTCACTAGTTACCTCTACATGTCAAGTGGAAGAATCTTGGTTTGTTTGTTTGTTTGTTTGTTTTAAATGCTAGTTTTGAATCTGAATGATGCCTTTGGGGGGTATGTATTTTGGGGCATAGCACTCAACCTTTCTAATTCTTGTCTTCCTTATCTATAAACTGGAAATCATACGTTACACCGTGGTATTAAAAGAGATTAAAAGAGATGATCTAGATAAAATGAGCGGTTGGGGCACTCCCAACACACTGTGAGTGGGAGTGCAAATTGTCAGACAAAATTTAAAACACATAGTTATGATGTATTCTTGGTACCGTGTCATTATTATCTCATTCGAAATAACAGGAATGGTTAGTACGTATTTTGAGCTCTAGGAAAAAAACGGGAAAGGGTGCTCTGAGCAGCTGATATGACACACAGCTATCTGACTCCCCATGCTGGCTAGCTCCCGGGGTCACCGATGCAGCCCTAGTGGTCACTTATTAGTCAAACACCAGTCCAGATGACTGCATTTTATAGATAGTTAACACTGTCGGCTTTAAGGAAAGGAGATTACTGTCAAACACACGAATGAGCCTTAGCCAATCAGGTGGCCTTAAGAGAAAATACACTGTACTTTCCCATTTCCAGCCTTTCTCTACTGCCCTGCAGACATCTGGCTTGCTAATGCCCAAATCATGTAAACCAGTTCCCTAAAAGTCCTCTCCCTCTCTCCCTTCCTCTCTCCTCCCTCTCCCTCCTTTGCTCCACATTCTATTTGTAGCAACTGTACATATATTTTCTTTTCTTTGGAGAAACCCAAAAGACACACATGCCGAGGAATCCCACCATGACTAAGTAGAATAACAATTAGCAGTACACCTTTAAATGTCTTCAGGCAAAGATTTTAGAGTGTAAATAAAAGCCTAGTCATGGGACTGGAAAGATGACTTAGCAGTTATGAGAGTATATTGCTCTTTCAGAGGACCTGAGTTGGGTTTCCAGCACCCATGCCAGGTGGCTCACAACTGCCTATAACTCCAGCTCCAGGGGATATGATTGATGCCTCTGGCTTCTGAGGGCACACATGTGTGCACACGTACACAGACACACATACTCATAATTAAAATAAATAATAAAAGTATATCTTTTTTCCCCTTCCAAACATACTAGTCAGTTTAGTAGCATAAACTCTAAATGAATTAATAAAGATAAAGAAACTTTACCTGGGAACCAAACTGCACTTGAGTTCTACATGTGATGTGAGAAAGTCTCAGGCTGTCCCTGGAACATGCAGTTAGCAGCAGGACCTGTGTCTGGCACTCACCTCCTTAGCTTTCTAATAAGAAAATCTTTGCCAAACATCTATGCTGACCAAGTGTTTTAATTATCATCAGCAGATGATGGGGACAGACATTGTCAGAGCTGCTGTGGTTCTTGTGTCTAGCACAGTTTTGGCGGCCAGTGTATTGTGCCTTAC